ACAGGGTTGAGCAGTTCTAGCCAGAGGCCTGCTCCCCAAAATCACAACCACAGATATGTCACGGGGAAGGAGCACTCTACAGATCAGAACAACGAGTTCTTTTGGTAAGTAGTTAAAAGAAGATTTGTACATATATTTTCCTTCACAATCAACTCATTTTAGACACCAGGAAATGAGGAAAACAAGGTAATCCTTCCTGGTTATTCTCTAGTATATTTTACTTATTAAAGAAATATCTTGTACCACCTCCCAGACTTGCCAGAGTGACCCACGCAGACTGTAAGTAGTACTGAACCTCTGAACAGGAGAGTAGAAGATGAAAAAAAAAAACCCTTCCCAAAACAAAAAGCAACCCCCTGACTTAAGCAAACAAAAAGTAAATATATTCCAAGATACATCCCCCAGGTACAAACCTGGGTGCTCAAACCCAGGCTGCTCTGCCAACACTCTGGGTTTCCTCTGTCCTGCACGGGAAGGGAGGTGAGCAGCTCGGACCAACACAGAGGGTTTCTAGAGGGTTTTTAGCACAGAAACGAGGTGGTTTATGCACAAACAACTGGCAGCCAGGTGAACACGGGGAAGATTCAACCCCTGCTGTGCTCCTCCAGGAGCATTTCCTCCAAAGACCTCAGGGAACAGTCTCCTTGGGGCATTTCTGGTGGTGGTGTCACCGAGCTGCTCCACACGGCAAGAGTAGGAAGAGAACTCATCTCTCCACACACACAAAACACCAGCGTGAACGAGTAATTACCATGGCTATTAATTTCTAATTCACTTTTATACCTTAGTGAACCTGACGGAGGCTTCTCAGCCAGCTAACGTGTTTCTAACCCTAAAGTATTTCAGCAAAACTAAAAGTCCCGTAGTTTTGCAAGCAGCAAAGTAGAAAGGAACAAACTGGTGTGTAACTGGAGGAGAAATCCACACTGGTGAGAGCACGTCCAAACAGTGCAACACCTCTGCTCTGGAAGGAGCTGAACCACGTTGGTCGGTGCTGCAGACATGCAGGGTCTGCTGAGTTATGTCCAAACCACGTTTGCTGGTGATTAAATATGTCTACAGAAGATATATTACCATTCTGAATATATTTTCAAGCAGACCAAAAATACCTCATCTATTGGTTACTGGTGTGTTATTTTTAACTAATTAAATATTGGGAGGGGTTTTACCCCTCTCGCTATAAAAATTGCACTTATTTTCTATTAAACAAAACAAAACAAAAAAGTTAGATTTCAACTCTATGTTCCAGTATATATTCACATGGAAACTGGATCGTCTTGATCTAAGCTTGCAGGAGTAGGTGCAGCAGTCCTTGCTCTCCAAGACCCCCAGCACTGAAGGTCCCATCAGTACGAACCCCTCTGTGCTCTGGTCAACACTTCACTGTAGTGCACGGGTAACTCATTTGAGTTTGTTTTTGTTTTGTTTTTTTTTTTTTTTGTAAGAAAACCTGAGCTTCAAAAGTCTTTAAAAGGACCTGGAATCAAATCTGGCCCATTCTGACCCAGAACAGCTCAGTTCTGCAAGGAACTCCCCCCTGTCCTCATTCCACACAGCTCCTCCTGAGGCGCCGGGGCTGCGGCCCGGGGCGAGGCAGGTGTCCAGCCCTTCCCCCCAGTCCCTCCTGGCCCGGGAGACTCCTCCCCACACTGCCGAGGGCTCCCCTTCCCTCCAGCTGCGGCCTCCCCACGGGCTTTGAAGGGCTCCCTGTGCCAATAAAAAAGTCTCTCTGCAGTAAGCATGACTTCTTGGACACCGGTGATCAACTTCCTCTTGCAAAGTCTTCTCCAGCTCATAAAATGTCGTCGTAATCCAAGAGCTTGGAGTGCTGGCGGGTCTTCCAGAGGCGGTAAAGGCGGAAGTCAAAGTAAGTCTCAATCATCTGCTTACCTAGGGGTGAAAGGAAGCAGAGAGGTTACACCCTGCAGCGCCAGGGAGGGATGGGAGAGGCTGCAGCAGCTGAAAAACCCAACCCCCCAACAGGCAGGGGCCCAGGAGAACCTCTCTGTACTCCTCAGCCCAACCTTCAGCACCGACCCAGGGCACGTGAAGGTGCCCATGAGAAGCAAACGTCTTTTTAGAGCTCCTCAAGCCATGAAAGGCTCCTTAATAATCCCCTGGCAGGGTTTGTCCACGGGGGAGGGAACCCAGCACAAAGTCTCTCTCCAGACTTTGACCTCTCTGCACTGCCTGTAGGAGAGGGGGGCAGGGGCTGCAGACTATCAGACAACAGCTCCAACAGCCTGGCACGGGGACTTCAGAAAATCCCACATCAAGAGTACACCCACTGTAAAGATTTGTGGGAAACAAACAAAAATCATTAACATTGAAAATCCCAAGTGATTTTGTTGTGGTTGAATTAACAGCCCCAGGCTGGCAGAGCTGTCTCCTTGGGACACTCCAGGGCCAACAACCCCTGTCCCCAGGGAGGCCTGGGGAGGGATTTGCCCTCTGGACGCCTGCTGAAGGTGAGTTTCCTCTGAGGCTGCAGGGGATTAGAGAGGGGACACTGTTAGTCCATCCCTGCCCCATCCAGGGGATCAGTTCAGCCTCATGGCTCAGCTCAGCCTCCTGCTGGACTGCCCGGGTGCTGCCCGGGGCAGGACTGGCCCTGGGAGGTGCTCCCTGGCACACCCCCCAGCAGCACCTTCCCGTGGGATCTCTGCCAGGCTGGGCCCAGAGCTGGGCAGGACATGGTCCTCCAACTCTGCACATTCCTGGGTCAGAAGGGGGAGTGAGGAATAACCCACCCGTGCTGGCACTGGCTGGGAGCAGCAGAGGAAGGAACCACAGGGCTTCCAGCCCAACCCTGCCCATTGCTATCTTCCAGGAGCACAAAGTGCCAAGGACTACAGCAAAGAGAAATCAAGGGCAGATTCAGAATATCTTGCTTATGAAACTACACATATTACCAACCTTGACCAAAGACCAGGAAAAGTTCTAGAGCCCCCTGAAATCTCTTGAGATACTGGCAGAAAGAAACCCAAGGAAGCAAAGCAGGCTGAGAGGTAGAATGTCTCTAATGGGCTACATCCCAGTTACTTGGTGGCAACACAACTCACTTGCTACTAGTGCTTTGAGGCCTGGAGAAGAGATCCACACACACCTGGCTACAGAAAAGGTTCAGCTCCCCTGTGCAGTTCTCCCAGGGGCTTCATATGCCCCAGTGATACAACAAATCTCCTAAACTCAGCCTATAAAGCCACCTCAGGCTCCTCTGCCACTGCCAGGAGGCTGGAGAGGGCTCCACAGCTTCAGGAACACCAAACAGGACAAGTGAAATGTGAACCTGGAGGAAATGCAAGGGGAAAAACCAGGTTCAGCAACTGAACTACACAAGGTGGTTACCAGTGAAATGGAGACCATGGCAGGACTAAAGGGAGCTCAAAATTGCTTCTTCAGGAAGGTTCCCACTGAAGGAGGGAAGCTGGTTAGGAAGGTGTGTCCTTGTACAGAAAATAAATTACCTTGAGCTGATAGTTCAAGTGGAGACTCAAAGGCAACCCTATAAGGATTCATTAAGTTTTTCAGATTCTGAAATAGCTGAAAGGAAAACACAGCAAGAGTTAGCAGCTGAAAACAAAGATGAACTCCAGGGCACCCAAAACTGCCCATCCTTGTTTGCTACCTCCAGAAAACCTTCCACTCCTGTCCTTTAAAACATCTAGCTCATCTGAAAATAGAGAGAGTGCTTTGAATGACTGTTCTCATCAGAGGCTCACATCCTGCTCCTCACCCATCCTTCCTCCCCTGCCCTCTGGGGTCCACAGGTCCTGGCACAGGAGGGCAGCACGTTCCCACCCAGCAGCAGGGAAGGTTTTAGACTCCACAGGGTGGCTGTTCCCTCCCTGGACTTGGTGCTACTCCCCAGACACCCCCAGAGAGGTGACCCAAGAAGCTCTCACCTTCTCCCCATTGGGGTTTCCAAGAACATAGCAGCCCATGATGTGAATGATATTTGGTTCAGGATTGATTTTACTCATCAGCCGGCTCAACCTCTTCCAGAAGCTGGAAGAAATGAGAAAAAACAGAATACATCATTAAAAAACCCCAACCCCTCCCCTCATATGCATGAGCCATCACCTGGGCTGTGTGCACCCACTGCTCTGAAGGGCCCTGAGGCTTGTGGCCTGAGGAGCAAGTTGCTCATGAAGAGCCATTGGTTATTAGACAAGGAGGAGCAGGGCCCTTGCCTGAGAAGCCCATCCAAGTCATGAGGGAGAGAAGGAGGAGCACCAAGGGAGCTCCAAGGTGAAGAGAAGGGAGCAAGATCCACCAGGAATGTTTTTAGACTGACAGGTTCACTAAGCAGCCTCTTCTTGTAGCAGTTCCCTCCAGTGTCCTCTCTGAACATGTGTCACCCATTCATGGCTCATCTGCAGGGCATGGAGTCAGCAGAGGACATCTGGAGAGGTGGTTGTTCTACAGAGCTGGAGAGACAGCACCAAACCAGGCTGTTCCACCTCAGCCAGGGTGTGGTGCTGCTCACCAGTCACACCCTCTTCACCTTTGGTGCCTCAGGGTGAGATACCAGCACCTGCCCTGGGCAGTGGGGGTTCCAGCAGACTCTTGGTGGGCTCTGAAGCCCAGGAGTTCCTCTGGGGGGTGTCTCTGATCTGACTGCACCTCAGCTTTCCTCAAGACTGCCTCCCAGGGCAGTACCAGTTGGACAGAGACATTCACTTCCATGCATCCAAGTTTTCAGCTGTGTCTCCACAGCTTTCTGAAGGTCCCCAAATTGCCAACTTCAGGCCAGCTATGCCTGGAACGTGTTCAGAAACCTGTAAACTCACACGTGCTGAAGAATTTCATTGACAGTGTTTGTGCCAGAGCACAAGAGCTCTGAACAGATGTTGGTTTTCATGCTCAGTTCTCGTGCCAACCAAAAGCTGTGCAGGAACAGGTCTGTGTTTGGCTGGTGTGCATCCTCTCCCCCCCCAAGAAGCACGGTGGGTTTGAGCCAGCCCAAGGCAGCAGGCAGCAAAACAGGCAAAGCTGAATTCTGTGAGGAGGAGCAAAACTGCCCCAGCAGCCCTGGCTGACAGGCTGGCTTGTTAGTGAGAGTCCTCCTCAGTAACCTGCTGGACCTTGGGCAGGCTCTGCAGAGACAGATTCCATCACACACACCCCCCATTTACTGGAGAGAGCTGGGGGGATGGTGGTTTGGATTCCTGCCACCAGCGTCCTGCTCAAAAATGCTATCTCAGGCACTTCTCAGCAGGAGAGGCAGGAGGTGCCTGTTCTGCCTTCTGGTCAGCAAAGCCTTTGTTAGGAGACAAAACACATTTTTTTCCCTCTTTTGATAGCCTCTAGTCCAGACAGACACTAAACAGCAGATAAAAGCATAAATCTCCTGGAGACCTGTCACAGGGCCACACCACCTCAAGGTCAAGCTCAGCTCTGCTGCCCTGGCAGCTCCCCCTGAAGGAGCTGTAAGCTGCTGTTAGGTCCTCCCCCAACCTCCTCTTCCCCTGACCAAGCCACCTCAGTTCCCTTCACCACTCCTAGGACACAAACATGGACCAAACCGAGCAGATAAACGCTACCAGAGTCCAGAACACAAGGCAGCCACTCACAGGATCATATCTTCCTCCTTCTCCACTTTGGCAAAAGTGGCAACTTTGTTCTTTAACAAGTACAAGTGACCGGGACCTCCCTGCAAGAGAGAGACAGACAGATGCAAACCCTGGATCCACTTCTTGTCCTGCAGAGCCATACCCAGAAGAGCCACACGGGAGCAGAGCAGACACGCCAGGCTGGCACGGCTGCTACAACCTCCACAGCACACACCACAGGCACTTGCTCAGGAGATATTCACATCCAGGGAGTGTGCTGGGGGCTGGATTCTCCTGTTTTTACTGTTACATGCCCACCTCACTCTAGAAAGGCACAATAATAGATAAAAATCTTTATTGTGGGTGGTTGGAGAGTAATAAGGAAGACAAGAAATTCCCTTTCACTTGGGATGCCGAGGGACTTGCTGTGGTAGGCAGCTGAGAAGCTGAGCAAAGCAGGGACAAGCAGGGAGGACATCACTGAAGAATTGGGCTTGGGCAGCAGCAGGCATGGAAACGTCAAGCACAACATCAGGAAAATTGGGAGTCACAACCTCCAGGTCAGTGTGCTGCACACTCTGCAGTTTTGCAGCACTAGGCACGTGGGAGGGGGTTCACCCTGGCTTACCTCCCTAACTTCTCATTTCAAGGTTCCTCGTGCAGCTGCCAGGGAAGTCCCAAGCTGCCCAGCCTGAGGAACAGGAGACTTGGGCAGGAAATCCCTGGGGAGCCCCAGATCCAGCAGGGCCTGACTCTGTCCCACCCACAGCTCAGCAAGCCTGTCCCCTGCCCCCTCTCCAGCTCTGAGCTGTGTGCCCTGCCCGTGGGACCCAGGGCTGCCACTGCTCTACTGCAGGTGCATAAAACTATGACCATGAGACAGCAAATGCTTCTGCCCATCCCCAGAGTCCTCCCCTCCAGGTCTGTGCCAACACTGGTCTGCTGCATTTCCTGGAAAGCAGCTGAGAGCCAGCCCAGCTCAGGACCCAGCCACACTGAGTCAGGGTTTATTCCCTGCTGTCACAGCAACTTGAGGCTGCTCAGTGTCTGGGGAAGGGAGAAGTGAAAGCTGTACCCATGCAGCTGCTTTAGCAGAAACCTGACTTGGGAATATTGGTGCCTCTGTGTAGATTTTCCCTGCAGAAAGACAAATTTGTACCATTTAACTGCTTAGTAACTTTCATGTACCTGGCAAAATATCAGCATCTTCCAGATTCTGCAGCCTTTCCGATAAATGTTCAGCTTCTTCTCTATTTCCTCTGCAAAAAAAAAAAAACCCAAAAGATGAAACAGAGGGAGTTAAAAATGAATCCTATTTTGTCTCACTTCAGTCCTGAAGGCAAAGGCTGAGGTGTGAGAGGTGCTCAGCTCCCCCCTGCCCCAAGGGACTTCAGGTACTGCTCAGGTACACCTGCAACGGGCAAGAGCCAAGGAAAGCACCATTCACATACCTAGGATGTCATCAAAGGTGGCATGTTCATGGTCCTGGAAACCAAGAGAGAAGATGTATCAGTGTTCACTGTCACCACACCAGCTCCCGTGGAATTATTATAGTCTGTAACATAGCACAAAACCCCATTCCCAGGCAAAGGGAAGCTCTAAGAGTATGGCCATACCAACTGGTGACTCCGTCACATCACAGTCGTTACCACCCTAAACCATGTCTGGGCAAAGAAGCTGGAGACTGAATGGCCCATGAAGACCAAGTCCATGCAAAGGTTTGAAGATGAATCCTGCAGGAAAGCCCACAGCACACCCCATCCATCAGACATAGAGTCAGGAACGCCCGTTTGCCTCTTGGCCCATGTTTTGTAGCCAGCCCCCAGCCTTACAGGTGGCCAACAAACAGCCACAGTCCCAACAGCTGCCTCTGGCACAGGGGGGTCATCAGGACAACTGTGCAACCCTCAAAGGAGGAGAGAGGCAGGGAAGCTGAGCCTCCCAGCAGCACAGCCTGCTGCATCGGGAGGAGGAGTTCCCCAGCCTGCCAGTCTCACCCTTCCCTTTCAAATCAACAAACAAAGTGATTAGGAAAAAAGAGACCCATGAATTCTTGGGGGACCTTACTGTGGCCTTCAAGTATCTGAAGGGGGCCTACAAAAAAGCTGGGGAGGGACTTTTTACAAGGGCTTGTAGTGATAGGATGAGGGGTAATGGCTTCAGAGTGGAACAGGGGAGATTTAGATTAGATGGAAGAAGTTCCTCACTGTGAGGGTGGTGAGACCCTGGCACAGGTTGCCCAGGGAAGGTGTGGATGCTCCATCACTGGAGGTGTTCAAGGCCAGGTTGGGTGGGGTTCTGAGCAACCTGCTCTAGTGGGAGTTGGCCCTGCCCATGGCAGGGGGTTGGAACTAGTGATCTTTAAGGTCCTTTCCAACCCAAACTGCTCTGTGATTCCCTGCTGGTGTTCCAGACACCTCCTCAGGCAGGACTCCTATTGAAACATCAAGGTTAGACTCATGACTGACGAGGATGCACCACTGCACACAGCCTGATGGGCTTCACAGGCCACTGCAGGGCTCTGAGGTCCTGCCCACCCTGCCCAGGGATGAGCACCAGGAGGAGCCGTAAGCCTGCACAGCACCCAGCTCTGTCTGTGTCCTCAGGTTTCCCCAGCCTTCCTGCTCACCCTGCCCTGCCAGCAGGCCGTGCCCACAGGGTCTGGCAGCCCATGTGTGCAACTCCCACCCCACCTGACCCTTCCATCTAGACACGAGCCCCTGCAGAGCTACCCCAGAGCCCACATGTGGGTTCAGCACAGCCCCAGCCCTCTCCTGACAGCTTTTCCAAATCACAGCAGTGTTTCAGAACCACCCTAACAGGAACTAGGGATGGGGATGAAAAAGAACCCCAGTTCTCTGTGTGAAGCCTGCTCCCACACCTGCAGGCACCCGGGAGAGAGGCACTTACGTAGAGAATGGGGATGATGGAGGGGTCGTCCCTGCGGATGATGGTCGGGACGTACTCTGCTTTGGGCACCTTGGAAGAAATGAGCTGCAAGGGGAAAAGAGAAAGGCAACAGTGTGAGGAGAAGCCAGTAGAGTCTGGATGGACACACAACAGTGCCCTGTTCAGCTACTCCCAGGAGTTACCCAAAGCAGCAGCTAATCCAGCCTATCTGCATCCCTGCGGAAGGTCCTCCAAGGCTCTGGTCCTCTACAGAGCACCCCCAGGCCTGCCAAGTACCCCCAAGAGTCAGTCTCCTCGACCTCCAAGAAATGAGCACACAGCTCAGCTTAAAAGGCAGGACTGAGTCTGAGGGAACACTGAGAGTGGTGTGCACAGAGCATGAAGAAGCCTGTGAGTCACCACGAGTGGCCACATCCCTGTCCAGAGCACTCCTGTGCAGCTCCCTGGGTGAGGGTCTGTGCTCCTGCCTGTAGAGGGCTGTTCTGGCAGGCACATGGAGCTGGCTGGTGGTGGGATGGTGTGTGCCTGAACGAGATCCAGCCAAGGGGGGGAATGGCACCAGGCACAGGCAGGCACCAGGCACAGGCAGGCACCAGGCAGGCAACTCTGGCTGAAGCCTCAGCTGGTTCCACCAGCATGAGAGCCTGAGAGGACGGGCCTGACATCAGCACAAGCCAAAGTGCCCTGGGAGCACAGGCCATTTGACTGTGCTGTGATTTCAGGCTCCTCTGCTCATCACTGTGAGAGGGGAGCTGGTGGGCTTGGAAGTGCTGCCTGGGTTCCAGCTTGGGCTGGCTTCAAAGCCCTTCCTCCTGGCAGGCAGCACATCACTGCTCCGGCCACACGGGAGTTCAGGTGAAGGTTCTGGAGAGGCACAACCTACAGAGTCAAGGGATGGACAATCATCACAGGCACCTCCTGGGGAGACAGGCTGGAGGTGTCAGGGGCTGAACAAACCCAAGTGTGGGGTTCCTGGCGTTGGGTCTCATCGGGTGGCTCTGCCCTGAGGGTGCTTTAGGGCTGAGTCTGCACAGACAGCCTGGGAACACGTATGAACACAGACTGTCTCCATGTCCTTCACTCTTCCCAAGCCTTAGCAGGACCTGTTCAAACCCAGTGCTGCTGTGCTGGACTGGCAACGCTGCCTGAGGACAAGCTGGAAGCTGGGACCCTATTTCACCCGAGTACTTGAGCCCATGGCCAAAGAAGGGATGTGTCAGAACCTGGTCCTGCCTGCCCAGCCCCAGCAAGCAGAGCAGCAGGGAGCACAGAGGGAGTAGTAAGAGGAGGGAGGGACTGCTGGGACTGGGGACTCTCCTGTCAGGGTTGTTGAGACTCAGGCTAACTGGATTCAGCATTGGTGACAGCCCTGCTCTGATCTGGGTTTGGACTGCGGGTCCTTCCACTTCTAGTTCTCTTTGAACACGTCACCCCCAGCAATAACAGAAGCTGGATCCCATGTCATGTCTTGGCTGATCTCCCAGTGACCCTCAGACACACCCAAAGAGTTCCCCATACAAGACTTGCCCCTTCCCCTGAAGCTCCTAAACTTAGCAGCTCTGAAAGGACAGACAAAGCCCAGGTAGCTACAGGCAGTTGACGTGGAAACCCTCACCATTATTTTTGGCGGAATAAAGTCTTCTCCATCACATGCCATGGCTTCAAGTTCCTTTTCTGCTTCCCAGTTCAAGTCAAAGTCACCCTCCAAAGTGCCGCAGGAATCCTGAAGGTCATGGCCTGCCAGAACACAGCGTGGTTACACGGGCAGAGCAGTTTGCCTTCCCCACTCCATCCTGTCTGGCAGCCACCTCGCGAGGGGGACCACGAGCCACGAGACTCGTGTCCTCCTGTCTTCCACAGAGCGACAGACACCACAGGTCAGGGCTGGCACCTCTGAACAGAGCAACACTGAACGGATGAGGAACTGCACACAGAGCCCGATGCCACGGACCACGTAACCCCTCAGCACTCTCACAGCCACCCAGCTCAGCTTTCAGACGCTGGTTCACCTCAGCCACCCTGGCATCTCAGAAATGGAGGAGGAGACGAACGCAGACAGACTCTCTACACTTCAACACTGCCAAGCTGATGAGCAAAAGTCCAAAGACCTCAAAGCTGGTCTCCTGGTAATGGTTACTGCTCTGACTACATCTTCTGAGTGACTCTAAAGAAACCCTGCCTGGCTGGTCAAAGTGGTCCTGGCAGAGGAGTCCCAGAGCGTGAGGACAGCTGTAGCAGACACAGTAGTATTGCAACAGTGTACTTGGATTTGCTCTCCAAATGGACCTTACCTGTTGGCCTTCAATGCCTCCTGGGGAAAAAAACATCTGGAAGGAATATAATTGACCATTAAAGGTTAAAAATTGAGACGGTTCCCTGAAGCCAGGGACTGAGGAAAGAGAACTGAGGTGCCTCTGTCAGTCAGTGCCTTTTGGGATGTCCGGATGCCACGGGGCAGAGCCTGGAGCCTGTCTGAACCACCTCTTGGCCATTCCTCTGAGGTAGCTGAGGGAGCAGGCAAGAATCAGACTGCAGAGCAACCATCGGGTCATGTTTTGAACCTGGCCTGTCACACATCTGCCCCTAGGCCCTGGCACGGTGTCCTCTGCAGCTAAGAGGGCTGGAGCTCATGCTTACCTGGGAGGTCAGTTCATTTCATCAGTGAAATTCATTTACAAAACAAGCCATTTCAACAGAGGCCAACTCCTAGCTACCAAGTCCCTTGCCTACAGGGTTTTAGAAATACCTGGGTGAAACAGCCTCTCCCTTTATACAAAGACAGTGGGAAGATGCTGGCATTGTCTCCTGTACATTACCACCACAGCATCTCAGTCCCCACAGGAAGAACATTGCAGCATTACTGGGGATTCCCACAGGAATTCCTGGCAGCCCAAAGGAAGATCAGATTGCCCCAGGCTATCATCTGTGCAGTCAGCTTGGCCAGGAAGTCCAGGCTACACCTCCTGGAGCTGTGGCTGTGCCCTCGAGCTGTCCTAGCCTAGGAGAGAGCTCAGGAAGGGAAGCTCTTGCTCTGAAAGGCAGGCAGGTCAGCCCTGCTCTGGTGAATACAGCCTTGGACTGGTGTGCTTCCAGGGAGCTTGGGTTTGGTCCCAAGTGAGTAAGGGATGATGGGAACAGAGGGCTGTCAGAGAGCTGTACCACTGGGCATCCTCTGGCCTGGTAACAGGAGGTTAGACGCACTGTGCCCTACAGATAACTACAGGAACACAGAGATGAGCCCGTGTGTGAACCTGGAGTGGTATCTGCTCAGATCTCACTAACTAAAAGGATCAAAGATGGGACAAAAGGGCACAGAGTTGTTACTCCAGTGGGACTCCAGGCAACACCTCAGCTGGAGGGTTTGGCCACAGGAGGAAGCTCAAAGGACTCAGAACTCACTTTCTCGGGAGTCATGGAAGGAATCAGCTTTGATGGGAGTCGGGTCACTCCAGGACCTGCTGAAGCTCCTCTCACGCCGTTCGGCAAATGCTAGGATAAAACCAGAGCAGGACATTAACAGACTCCACAGCCACCTCTGCTGCTGCCAGCAAAACAAAACAGCCAGCAGATATCCAAGGCCACACCTCACGGACTCCCCCGTGCTTGTTCTTCCACTTGCCACACCGAGTCCTTTCCACACAGCAAACAAGGGTCTATCTTCTAGACAGCAAAGTGCCCACTTTCTGAGCAGGGCCATTACAGGGTGTGTAACACAGGAAAAGGAGGACACCTGAAGGTCCCTCCTTAAATGCACACAGTTCAGGCCTCAATTTAACCAAGGCTACTCCAGTGTCCCAGTGTAAGTGCTCAGTCACAAAGGCCTCACAGCAAGATGTACTCAACAGCTCATGGCACACGCATGACCAGAAGAAGGCAGCAGTTCTCCAAACATCCATGACCAGAAGAAGGCAGCAGCTCTCCAGTCAGCTCTCCTTTCATGTTCTAGTGACATCCCAAATCAGAGCTGGACCAAAGAGAACAGGGAGCCTCTGCAAAGCTCATGCTTTCTAAATTTCAGTGCAAAAGAGGAAATCCTTCAGTTTTTGTTTGCCCACACTCTTCTGAGAACTTTTCTCCCTGGCTTTCTTTTTTTTTTTTTCCTCCCAGTGGGCATTGTAATGTTTGTACCAGCATTGCCCAGGCAGAATCCAGGGAGCCTGGCCCAGCTGGCTGCACCACAGGCAAATCCCTGGGAACTGCCAACCACGCTGTCTGACTTGGCAAGGCCCTGTGAGAGCCATCACACCTAGATTAGCAGCCACTTCTGGCCACTGACACCTGTTCCTGGTGGCAGTGTGTCTAGTGACAGCATCTCATGGCAGCAGCACAGGGATTCACTGCAGAGCTGCACTACAAGAGCTGGAAGGCACCTGTCCTCTGCTGCAGCCTCTCCACGTGGGGGTGTCCAGGGAGTCCAATCACACAGTCAGTTCTTCAGGCGACCTCCATCCTCAGCACTCCTTTAAAAGCAGGCAGTTAGCTACTGGGCACAGGAAGAGAGCTCTGAAAACATGACCCGAGAGTTAGCAAGGCAGAGGCATGCCTGAGCTTCCAAACAGCTCTGGGGGGAGGTGAGCCCTCTTCACCTCAGGCAGTGCTAACTCAGATGCCAATAAAGACACTTCAAAAGGGCAACGCTCTTTGCTGTTCACTCCCCACAGCCTGTGAGGAGGAAGAGGAAGGAATGTAAATCCATCTCAGCAGTGCTTGGCTGGGGGCAGTCTCTACACGATGCTTGGCCTGGGGGTGGGAAGAACAAGCTGGTTCCTCTTCTGGAGCAATCCTCAGCTCTCCACAGCCACTTACACCACTCTCAGCCCGTTTCACAGCGATAACAGAGCTGCCTCAACCAAGTCAGGGAAGAGTGTTGCCTTCCTCAGGGAAAGGGAACTGCCACTTCCCAGGCCTAAGAGGTGATTTCTTCCCCACTGAGGCTTAACATCCCTTTATTTCCCTCTTGCTCCAATCTTTTCCTCGTTCCTCTTCTTTCTCCCTTCTGTCATTCTCTCAGCTCCCACCAGGTGACTCTCCCCCAGGTCCTGCTGTGGAGAGGGTGGTGGGACAGGGCACCAGGCAGCCCTCACCAGCTCTGATGAACTCCCAGCTTGGTTCTCCTCACAAGTGTCTCTGCCAGCGATCACCCAACGCCACACGCACATGGACAAGGATGCTGCAGCTCCTTCCACTCCTTGTACTGAGGCCACAGAGATCTCCCATGGCCAAGGCAGAAGGTCCTTGTAAGAAGCTTTCAGGCTGCTTGCAGACATCCCTGTGTCCTGGAGACTTGCAACAACCTGGCCTTCTTTTTTTGTAGGGTAAAATGGCACCAGCAGGTCAAATCCTTCCTCCAGCCCAACACTAGGTCCTTTCTACCCACATCTGCACACAACACAGGGTTCCTCCTGTCCCACCAGCACAAACCCCAGCTCCTCACAGCCACATCTTAAAGGTGCTCACTTACTTTGTGCTTTAACCCTTCGGCTCCCCACCATGCGGAGGTGCTTCCGAAAATTCCTGAAAGAAAGGCCAAACACAACCTCTGAGAAGAGCAACACAAAGCAATACCTGGGCCCAGCAGGACTCAAAAAAAAATGGGGGGGGAATAATAAAATTGGGAAGACAACATATTTCCTTCTGGGCATTCTAAAGCTGGAGATGAAGTTCCCAGCTTGCACCTCCTCAGTGCTGGGGTCGGGTATGTTTGTCCAGAGTGTGGCTGCTTCTTCTGAACTCCCTGGGCTGGTGGTACAGGGGGAGAGACTCCCTGCAGTCCCCTCCTCATGGCCTGCTTCCACTCCTTAGGAGGGAGGCACGGCTGTGCTGTCACTTTGCTGAAGACACTGCCACTGGCAATGCCCCCTCTTCTCAGGGAAGTGACTGCTCCCCTCTCTCCTCCCTCCACACGTGCCCCAGCAGCACAGTGGGTGCCCAGGCTCTACCCTGCGAGGCAGCAAGCACCCCCTGCTCATGGCTGTGCTCCTCCCCAGACACCCAGCACCTGCCAAATTCCCACCACGCAGCCTGTACTGCTCTCCAGGGCAAGGAGCTGGGAAAGGCTGAAGCAGCTTCTTCCTTCTCAGAGAGCAGCAGGGCTGACTGGCCTCATGGGCCTGCTCCCTGCTCCTGCTGCCTGCCTGGGACTCACAGGCAGTTCAGTGGGGCTGCAGAGGGCACAGCCCCAAGGAAAAGTCCACCAGAGGGTAAGCCCTGGGGAGCAGCTACCCCATAGTCAGGTCTGTGTAAAATGGACTGTCCTGGCCACTCCTGAGAGACCAGGGCAAAGAGACTGTGTCCAGCCCCTCCAAGTGCAAGGGACCTGCCTCCCTTGGTTTCTCATCACTCACCTAGACAGGAACCAAACAGGACAGGAACCACACAGGACACCAGAAGAGACACAGGGAAGAAGCAGCATGTGGTCTACTAAGAAAAGTGTCCCCCTGCCATGAACCCTACTTAGTGAGGGTGACTTCCCCCTGCAGGGCAGCCCCCGTGGCCCTGGGCATGTCAGTGAGCCCCTGCACCAGCAGCCTGGTGGAGTCTGAGTCCTCAGTTCCCCTCTGCCCCCCAACACACACCACAGACAGCAAGCAACAGAGACCACTGCTGGGGAAACGGGTAGGAGGACAGGTTGTCTGGCTCACACACAGGTTAGTGGATGAGCAAGGACAGGAGACAACCATGCAGATGCTTTAGCAAACTAATAGGACTAAAAGACACTTCCAGCACTGGGATGAAGCTGTTCAAAGCCAGGTATGTCTGCTCCTGTACAGAGAGCTCAACACAAGCACAGCCCTCGTGGGACATGTCACCTTCTGCACCATCCCCCACTTGGGCCTTGGTTCCCATGTTGTCATCAGGATCCAAATTCAGCAGCTCAAGAAGGAAAACTAGCAGCTGGGGAGTGAAGCTGGGAGCCATGTTATCCCATGACAAATTCCCACCTGCACTTGCACTGCTGATGTCATTTTACAAAGATTTATTTTAGCTCCACGTGGGTAGGGGAGGATTTACAGCTGTGTACAGACAACCTTTTGAGAAGTCACCAAAACCAGTCACTTCACTAACACCTGCTGGACTGGCTCTATGTGCAAAGCCTCTGGGGTGTGTGATGACCAAAACTGTGGGCTCTTACTGCTCTTTAGATTCAAATCCAAATAAATACAATCTTTTAAGGGGCCCAGGGTCGTGCTTTACACAGAAAGGTCTTAGATGTATGTTGTAACTCATCAGAATCAAAAACTTTATGGTCCACTGGGAGACCAAGATCATACCAGACAATGAGCACCAACGTTAACTGCCAAGGCCACTGTTATGGGTTTTGGCATTTTGGAGGAAAATCTGTTTTTCTGTTCAATGCTCAGTTGTCCTCTCTACAGAGGAGCTTCCTCATGCCCTGGGGGGAAGGGGGATGAAGCAGTCTTTGCCATGGAAGAGTGCTGCTCCCAGCTGCCTAGAGAGCTTGGTCTCTCCCACCAGAAAGGATTGAGGACAGCTGACTAGCTACAACTCCTAAACACTGCTGAGAGCAGCTCCAGGAAGACCCCAGCTGCTCAAGGTTAACCAACACACTAAATGCTTGGAGAATGGGACACAGGCTTTTTTTTCCTCCTCATCTCTTCTAGAAAAAAAAAAAAGCACTTTGGAAAGGAGGTGCAAGGCTGGGACTGCTTCTTGATGTGGGCATCCTGCGCTCATCCAGATCCTCCTGAGGGCTTTTTGCAGCTCTATTTGTCCTCAGGCCTCTCTGTGGTTGCATGTTAGCACAAAAGGACTGGCACAGCTCCCCTGGGGAGCTGCAAAATCTGCTCCATGAGCAATGGGGCTACATAAACCTGCTTGGTCTTCCTGCAATTGCACCAAAAAAATCCAGGGTTATTTGATTGCTATCAAGATCTCTTCACCTATCAAAATTCAAGAAGCATCCCTCAAGTCACAGTGATAAAATGTCCTTATTACTGCCCTGTGCCAGCTCCACAGGGTCCCTCCCAGCCAGAGGGTCCCCAGGCCACAGCAGCCCCACTCCACCTCTGCACAGAAGCCTTTTGGGTACCCGACGGATGCCAGCAGCAGAACCACCAACACACAGCAGAGCTCTGCACAACTCCTGACAGGACCTCCCACCTTCTCCTCCCCAGCTCCTCCCTGCAGTGGCCACCAGGCTCAGCAAGCCACGGGGCATCACTCTGGAGGCAATGTCCACTGTGTGCCACACCACCCGAACCGTGCCACCCACACAGGGCCCAGCACAGGAACAACCCCACTTCTGAAACACCCGAGAGCACCAAGGGCTGCACAGCAACACCTGAAGCCACGGCAGGGCTGAGGTCCTCCTCACTCCCTGGAGAAGAGCTGAGCACTGCTGCCAGCAAGCCCTGCAGCTGGCCAGGGCCTGCTTGTGTGGCACAGCCAAAAGCCCATCACTGCTGTCCTGCCTCCTCTTTCTGCACCAGGGGGCTCCTGCCCTGCAGTCCTGCCTCGACCTTCAGAGGCCACAGGAGGTGAGGGGACGTGCTGGCCACTGAGCACAGGGATGGTGTGACTCTGTCCTCTCTCCTGACTGCTCAGCACCACCGAGGTGTACGACTCCTGCCCCTGTACTTGCAAACCACATGAACAAGCCCTTTTCTAACAAAGACTTGCCTCTGGCTAACAAATTCTGGGAAATCTTTCTTTTTAAAGATACACTGTCTATTTATTTACAGCATCTTTAGTTTTGATTTTTATTTCTCTTCATTATTGATGAAAAAAACCCACCTTCCTGGCAATTTCCCAGTTAAAAAAGAAAAAGATGTTTTTCTCTCCACTTTTGAACAGATCAGCTAACAAATTCTGGGAAATCTTTCTTTTTAAAGATACACTGTCTATTTATTTACAGCATCTTTAGTTTTGATTTTTATTTCTCTTCATTATTGATGAAAAAAACCCACCTTCCTGGCAATTTCCCAGTTAAAGAAAAAGATGTTTTTCCCACCACTTTTAAACAGATCATGAAGTGATCATGGCAGTTTTTAACCAACAACACAAATACTGTGGTATCCTCTTTAGCAGGCTACCAAAATACACAAGCCATGACATATTAAAAACCAAAAGCTGACCAGATTGCCACAGTGGCTGAGTGATGTGCCCTGTGAAGTCAGCAGAGGAAAACCAGGGCCCTTCTGTAAGAGCTGGACAAGGAATCAGTCCCCATCCTCTTTTCTCTCCTTTTTGTTCTTTGAAAAAAAAAAAAAAAAAGAGGTTGAAAGAACATAGATTTCTGGTCACTAGAGATGTCCATTTTTTTGCCTACATCTCAGGTTTTTGAGGTGCATTTGTAGATGATGCAGCAGCACAAAAATTATTCAGCGAACCTCAAACAAACTCCAAGTATTTGGGAGAGGGGTGGGGAAATGACATATTTCATTTTTAAAATAAATACTATCTATTTTTCTGCCTGGGACACAGGTCCTGTACATGACATTTGGATGCTGAAAAGAAAGTTGACAGTGTGCCTTTAAGATGGGGAGGGAGCACTCAGCACCACTCACCTCCACTCTTCCACCTTGTCCCTAGGAACAGCAACACAGACAGGGACAACCACGTTGTCAAGGGTCACTGGTGCCACCCGAAGGGCCCATGCAGCACCAGCCAGGTGACAGCAGAGGGGCCCATGCAGCACCAGCCAGGTGACAGCAGAGGGGCCCATGCAGCAGCAGTGAGGGGACAGCTCCAGCACAGGACGGGCCCTACCTCTGAATAACCGCTGCGGAATCATTCTCTCGCTTCCGTCTCTTCCTCTCTGCGTAGCCCCTGAACGCCCTGGGAAACCATTTCAAGCCATTAACCAACTACACAGCTTGGAAGTGGAGAGGACAGCAAACACAGACAAGGAAAGCCCTCACCAGATGACAGAGAGAGGCTGGGCTGCCTGAGGAGGAGGCCAGCCCTCGCAGGGCTACGTGCGAGTCAGGGGCCAGGCAAACGCTCACCAGACCCAAAGTTCTCCCTCTGTAGGGCTGGGGCTGGACAAGAAGTTGGTCCTAAAACAAACATAAGAGCAGCCAGAGCACAGCCCAAAGAATGGAGGTGAGCACCCATCGTCCCTGCTACTGAGGAGTGGACCTAGGAGACTGCAGACACAACCCTCTGTACACCAGGATCAAGAGGACAGAAGCATGCTAGCAACTGTAGTCTTCATTTTGAAGAGGAGGATGGTTGTGGTGTGATCCAGGCAGGCCAGGTGTAGCCAGCTAAACTCTTTCCAGCTGACAAACAGCCCTAGCATAGGGAAAGCACGAGTGAATATGACAGACAGGAGAGGAGAGGAGAGTTTATCCAGGACACCAACAGACAAGGAGGTTAAAAAAAAAAAGAAAAGAAGATTATACTTACGAGATGCTAGAGATTCCAGGAGATGCAGGGAAAAAGAAAGAGAAGAGGATTCATTAGTGCTCAGCCCCAGCCAGTGTTCTGA